TATCAACTCCAGCTTTACTCCTGAAAATGTTAAAAATCAAGACATAACACAACTTAGATCTTTTGAGTAACAACTCTTTAGATATATCGATCATTTTCATATGCACTCATTACATGCAATAGTATTTATTATCAAATATGACAAGATTATCGGCTATAGTGATTTCAATATCGTAAAATGAACCATTTATAAACGGTAATGTACAGCATTTAAGTTTGTAGCACGTTATGTTTATCATTGTGTTTTTGATAATGGTTGTTTCCATTGTCATTGGGATACCTTACCAGAGACTGTCTTATGGAATAGACATTATTTGGCGTGCTTTCAGTCAATGAAAAAAAAATCTTAATTAATTAAACAAAAATATGAATAATTAGGTAATTATTACACAACTCTAGTCAAGTAAAAGTATCTCATTTTTGACTTGATTTTTGAAGTTTACGTATTATTTTAGTCTCCCAAAGCAGCACTCATCTTTTTTATGTGCATCATTTAATTTTTTACATAAAAACATTTCACCATCAGTCAAATAATTCACATACTAATGTTACTTTCTAAATAAACTGTGGATTTCACACTGATAAAATGTTTTAATATGGGGTTTACAAGTTTTGTGTACATGCATATTAATTGACTGAGCTACTATTCTTTGCCACGGACCAAGATGAGATGATTTTAATGGCTAATAAAAACGACAAAATATGCTTACAAACTCTAAAAAAAAAGTTGAGGGACTAGTAGTTTATTATAAAACCAATATAAAAAGTGCGAATTATGTGTTACCTGCCATTGTACTGATTATTACAATTTTAGTTGTATTTAACATATCGGGGTAGCTTTAAGATCAGTTTGTATGTGCCACACTAATTCATTATTAGCTATGGTTACACAAGATGTACACGTTCCTGGGTAATGAGATTTTGATTGATACCATGAATAACTAGATAAAAATCCTATTTGTTTTATACCAATCATTCTTATACAATTCGGACACCTGTAAGTTTTAACCCGACAAAAAAAAAGACAGATTGTAACCATCCCGATTTAAGAGAAAGCAATTAATAAATTCAGGATATAAATACTACAGCATATTTTCTAATTTTTTTTTTCATTAATATCGAACAATTACTATACAAATGTATATCTCATACTCCTCCATCTTAACTTTAACTTTATTAGCCTTTACTGTATCTGCCAAGAAAAATAACCACAGTAACCGCAAGCATAATCCCAAGGGTAGAGCTTTCCAGCGCATCCTTCAAGTTTGGTTCGAGAATCAAGTAAGTAGCTCCTCCTTGATACTTTTATAGTTGTGCTCATCTGCTTATTAATTGTCATAAACTCAGGATTTTGCTGATGTTTCTGCTGTTCCTGGATTTAATGATCTGGTTAAGGAAGGTATCCTCTTGGATAATTTCAACGCTATCACTCATCCTTCCGAGCCTAACTATGTTGCTGCTGGTGGCGGATCCAATTTTGGTATCACCAATGATGACTACTATAATATCCCTGCTAATGTTAGTACCATCTATGATCTGCTTGAAAACAAGGGGTTGGCTTGGAAGGTATACCAAGAAGATATTCCTTCGGTTGGATACACCGGTTATAAAGCAGGACAATATGTTCGTAAGCATAACCCTGCCATTATATTTGATTCGGTCGGATTAAATGCCACTCGTTTGCAAAACATTGTTGGAGGTAGCACAAAGAAATGAATAGAAAGCCATATGCTCACCACTTTAATTTAGATGATCAATTCCAAAAAGATGTTGCCTCTGGTGATCTTCCTGCTTGGATGTTGTAAGTGTGCTCAAGAATAGAAAAATACAGCAATAACTAACAGAATTTATCAGCTATACTCCTAACATGTTGAACGATGGTCATGGTAAGTGTTTAGTTGGGGGCTCAAGATTTTTATGATGGAAATTAAACGCAATTAAATGTAGATACGAATGCCTCTTATGCTGGTAATTGGCTTGCCGGTTTCTATGAAAAGACCTTAAAAAGTAATCCCAATTTCCTTAAAGAAACCCTCGTATTGATCACCTTTGATGAGGTGAGTTAAAATATAATGTTTAAGATTACGTCTAATATCTTTTTATGTTTACAGAATCATTCTAAGAAGACCGCTAGAAACAGAGTCTGGTCTCTTCTCTTAGGCGCTGTCCCCAAAAAATTAAAGGGCACCACGGATTCTACTTTCTATACTCGTAAGTAATTAAGTCATGGGTACATTTTTGACAGCGTTTAAAAGTTATGTAATAGACTACTCTACTCTCAATTCGGTTGAGCGCAACTGGGATCTCGGAAATTTGGGTCGTGGTGATACTAACAAGACTGAGTCAAACGTATTTAAATTTGCAGAGAAGGCTCTTCATTATAAGAATATTGACATTTCTATTGCCGATGCACCTTGGAATTTGGAATTTCTTCCTGGTATGATGACTGGAAAGTCTTACAATCAAACTCATGCTGCTGTCTAATGTGATTATGGCGGTGTTGCAACCTGGATAATGTGAATTGGTGCTGCACATGACAACATATTTTCTATTATACTCCCCCTTTTTTTTTATTAATTAATAAATAATTATCAGTTATATCTTATTTTTATTGATATCTAAACCTCAATAATACCCCAGTGAATTTGAAGTTTGGATTGACTGTTGAGTAAGTAGGTACTAAGCAGAGGTATAGGAAAGAAAAGTCAAGATATTTCGAGGACATCGGAAAGCTATGCGTTATGAAGTCGTCAATAAAATCGGTTGTCAAAGATAAATAACAAGTGAATGATTTATTACTACCGAACAAGTTGCTGTGATGACATTTGAAAATGATTAGAGAGTGTCATGTTTAAGGTTCAAAAAAAAATTAATTGATGAAATTTGAATCTGTAATTACACCGAAGTCAGTAAATGAAGTCGTTCTCCCAGGAAACCTAAACGCCATTATATATAAGATGAAACTGAATTTATGCAAGAACAGACTTACATTAAAAACGTCTACATATACAAGCTTCATGGAAATAAAGTAAGGAAACTCTACCCGTATCTTTGCGATGTTTTCTGTACCATTTTTTAGGTAGAATTCTAGATAAACCAAATATCACTATATCAACAGATATGAAATAATAATTAAGAAACATCATATACAGTGCATCTATTTTACAATGAACAATTTTTGGCTCCGATTTTTCAAAAAATATAAAAACTCTATCTCCTCGATGAATTCAACAGGTATCCAAAATCCGGCTCTATTACATTCTTTATTAGAGAGTTCTCCACAAACTAATAGAGCCGGATTTTTTTTTTCACACAAAATGTTTTACAGATGGCAAAACAAAATTGGCCATTTACAGTGGGGAGACCCAAAGATGTCCGGGAGGTGTTTTACAGTGCAAAAATTCATAAAAATCCATTGGATATATCCCGGTTAAACATTTTCCCGCGATAAGTTAGATTTCTCTGTCAAAAAATATGAAAATCACCAGTCTAAAAATCCGACTTTTAAGTTCTGAAAATGTCCGTTTTAACGATAATTGTTCATTGTAAAATAGATGCACTGTAGAATGTAGAAACTTTTCGAAGTGCTTATGGGCTTTAGCAGATATTAAATACAGAGGTAAGCCATCTTTTTTTAAAAATATTTATGTTGTTGTTAATCCTGTTGTTCGGAAAGGCCAAATAAGTGGAAGCCACTTCCGTATGAAGAAGATAAGTCTAAGGTTCCGCTGGTAGTCTTTGGGGAAGGAATGTTTGGAAAAAACCTGGTTAAGCTGAAGGGCATGACTGGGGTTATGTGGAGATCATTAAAAAAACGCGAAGCTGCAGGTGAATTGATCGCTATCACGATTGTCGAATATGAAACATCCAAAGTATACAGTCAAAGTTATTTTGATGACCTGAAGGTGATTAAAACGCCTGGCTTTAAGGGTAGTAAAGTTCTTTGCTGCCAAAAATGTGAAAAGGTGTGGCAAAGGGACGTGAATGCTGCCAGAAATATGATGATAATCTCAAAGGCGATTTGGTTAGGCGAAGGAAGACCAGAGGTTTCTAAACTAAAAAAACTAAACAATAAGCCTAATATGTTCTCATTATCGTATCGCCGTATCAAACATGCTTTCCTTTCAATTAAGGATTAAGATCATTACAGGTAAAAAAAGCAATGTTTGTCCAAAAATTCATTTTCTTACATTTTGTCTAAAAAAGTGAACTAGCCTCAAAATTAAAAAATTTCAACTGGTTATGTACATCAAGGATTACAAAGAGTATAAAAAGTGCTAATGTATATAGCTGTAGATCAAGGCAAAATATCAAAAATAATAAAAAATAACATAAAAAAACGTAAAAGTTCCAGAGCTACAAGTAAGATACAAATCATGTTCTAGTTTCGTCATAGTCTATCAAGTTATGGTTAACTGCTGCTTTTGGAACTGAAATGACGAACAATTATTAAACCAAGGATGCCGTGTCAGTTTTACTGGTTCTTTCTACAGGCAAGAAAATAGCTAGTGTAGACCAGACATGTCATTCATCGATGGAAGATAGTTTCGCAGAAGCACGGACTTTGATATGCTGAGGACCTTGAAGTAGGCGTTTCAAAACGATGGCGGATATTAATCAAAATAAGCCTTCTCTGTCTTCAATAGGCAACTAGTGACGATCGTCTTTCTAATCGCCATATCGGATACAATTTTGGAAAGGACACAGATCTTTACACATACATGAATGCTCCAATCAAATCACCTACAACACCAAGAAATAAGCCGTTATGAAAAATTATCATTCGGTTGCTAAATGACGGATGTATCCACTTATTTATCATTACACAACCTGTCTATTTGTTTACTTTTATTTTTATTTTTATTTTTACAAATAAACTTGGTCATTATCCAAAAATCATAGCACTTATCATTGATAGTAGATTTAGTTAATAGCTGGAAGAAACCTATCGATAAATTGCCTTCGCCAAACATCCTTTTGATTAGAATCTAAATACAAGTATAAAATATTATGTAGATCAGCACTTGGTATGGTTATAAAACATACATTGGATTGTTTGAATAGCTTAAGAGCGTGAAATTTCCCAAACTATCCCTAATTGTAAGATGCTAAGATTAACTTATGATCAAAGCAAATAATGTAGTGTCCAAGGAAGGACTCGCACAGGTAAGTAACACTGAGCGTTCCTTTTAGGATTAAACGCCGTCTTTGTATGACGTTGTAGTTGTATTATGCCGGTTTTTTTTTTTTTGGGTTTTCATTTTCTGTTCTTTCTCATATACCATGAAACTTGTTTTCTTAATAACCCTGCTATGCGGCTACGCATATGCTTACAAGACTTTAATTGACGTACTATCGGAGGATGCCAAGTTCTCAACTCTGATTTATCATTTACAACGAACGCACCTGGTTCCCATGATCAACAATATAGAAGCGGGTACATTTTTTGCACCCGATAATGACGCATTCGAAAAATACCAAGGTCCAGCACCGACCAGAGAATTGATCCTATATCACTTGCTACCCAAGCTTTATAAAACAAAAGATTTGGGTAACGGACAATTGCTGGAATCAAGCTACATTCGTCCTGGGTTCCTCGGTAGAGAAAACAAAGGTCAAATGTTGAAAATTACCGAGAAGTTGGAGAAATTTTTTCATATTAACGATGCAAGGATTAAGGACCGTGATGTCTTTGTCAATTTAAACACGACAATGAATGTTGTGGACCGTGTTTTGGAACCACCTCCGATGATGTGTAAACAAAAATTTCTTTTTTAAACCTAAAACTATGTGCTGATTTAATTTTTATATTAAAAGCTAGTATTGTTAAGGAGTTTGACGAAAAGTTGTTTGAGCTCATGAAAAGAGCTGATTTGGACAAGCTGATAGCTTTGGAAAGACCTTTTACAACCTTCATCTCTGCAAAATACTTGTTAGACAAATTTAATCATGTCGAAAAAAAATACTTGACTTCTGAGTACGGCTTACAGGATCTGAAACACATACTTAAATACCTTGTGATTTCAGAGCCAATTTATCTGGACAGGCATCCTATTGGTGAAACCTCGTGTAAGTTGCCCTGCAGTTAAATGTATAATGATAATATACTTACTGGTTTACAGATACCACTGAATCTGGGGAAACTTTGATAGTAAAAGTTTCTGGTGATAACAGATATACTACTGTCGATGGATTAAAAGTTATGGAAAGAGACATATTGGCAGCCAATGGTATGTACCTATTTTACTGATGGAGAGAAAAACTAGAGACTAAACATGCTAACAGGTGTAATCCATGTATTGGATGATTTACCTTACGCGGACTCCATCGTTTTTGATACGCGAAAATATCTTTTTGGGTTAAATGCTACGAAGTTCGTATCCCTTATCGACAAGTATGAATTAGGGTACTTTTTGGATAGTCAAAGCGCCAATATAACTATTTTAGCGCCTACTAATGAAGTGATCGATGAAGATGATATTCCAAATAACCTGAAGAAACAATGGTTAAGTTACCATTTACTTCAAGGAGCATGGAAGTCGGATGATTTGGAAGACCGAATGCTGCTTAAATCCGAATACAACTCATCGCAGCTGCTGGATGACTCACAAAGAATTGTTGTACGGGTTAGTGATGGTAACAAATATGATCTACGTAGATCCATCCAATTTGGAACCCACTCTCAAGTCATAGGAAATGATTGTAAGTAGTGACTTATACACAGACTTCTTCAGACTAAATTTCTACTACCACCTTAGTACATATAAATGAAAATGTCATTTACCGTGTTTCGGATCCACTTGATCTCCCATTGGACATATTCACTCGTCTCGTTATAGATTTGGAATTATCTACATTTATTGCCACACTTTACGTATCAGGTGTTATTAAGGATATCAAAGATAGCAAAGCAATCACCTTATTTGTGCCCACCAACCAGGCTTTTAAAAACCTTGGTCTTGTAGCTCGTTATTTGGTGCATCCTTCTGGAAAGACAGATCTTCAAACAGTGTTAAAATATCATGTTGCTACGAGTCCTCTCTATTATGAAGACCTTGTAGGAGATGTTCTCGAAGTAACTACTCTTACCGACGATACTCTCATCATCAATGGTAACAATAACGATAGTAGTGTTTGGATCAGCTCCAATGACGGAAAAGAAGAACATGGCGTGATTAAGAAATCCGATATCTTGGTTGCAAATGGTGTAGTACACAAAGTCGATCATATTCAGATCCCTAATAATGTGGAAATCACACATCAGAACTTGTTGACTGGTATCAGTGCTAATCTAATGCAAGACATTCTAAAGAGAACGGGCGTCCTAAAAGACATTGAATTGAATAATTATTTAATCTTAACGCCAACGGACGAAGCATTCAAAAACATAGATTTGGAATCTCTTTGGAACGATACCGAAAAATTAGGTCGTATTGCCAGATTGCATATTTTACCAAAATCAAGCGGGAAAAAAAGATGGTTCTTGCACCCTCTGTCCGGCGAAGAGGTGTTTGAAACGATGTTGGAGCAAGATAAAGTAGTCGTTCGTCAAGTTGGACGCAATAACATGATTATTAGAGTCAAAGGACAACCTTATGGCGATCATGCACGTGTATTAGATATGGGGCGTGTGAGCACAGGTGATCGTAGTGGTGGTGTTATTGAAATTGATTCAGTTTTGTTTCCTATTGAAAGAGGAGCATTTGGATTACCGTGGATGTGGTCTTTTCTCCTTGTCAGCTTCTTATGGATTGCCTCCCTCAGTTTATTGGCTCTTGCAGGATTTATTGCCTTTAAGAAATATAAGCGTAGAAGAGATGGTTATGTAGCTATCTTGGAGGCCGAAGCCGACGACATCGCTGAAGAAGAGGCTGAACAAGCAGTGAACAATATAGGGCACGCTAATTTGAGAGTCTAACCATACGTCAGTGAATTCAATAAATACAAAGATGTACCCTTTTACCATAAAATGTACTAGCATATCCTTTTTTTTTTTTTTGTAATCTTTACGGGAGGTCTTATTATCCTACACGTCAAAAATGGTTTATTTAAATAGTTGTTTAATCGACTATTTAATATTGATATAACTACGGTGCCCAAGTTTTTAGGGATTCTATATTTTAGTCCGTTCAATTGATGATAAATCCTCTGCGACTACATTTTCAATGATTGATAATTGGTCCAGCCATTTATCAAGTACCGAAACTGATACTATTGGGGTTTGGGAAATGGTTTTCGGCGTAGTTTTTTGAGACCAAATTTTGGAGGTAAGTGCCAGTTGTTCGGTGATTGCCTCTAACCATTTTTCTTTTTCCTCTAATGTACTGCACTTGAATTTAAGAGCATACGTTGTTGGGTCTTTGGGCTCTATCATAAATGTATGGTCAGAACCTCGGGTTGTATAGCTTTGGGCTGATATGAAATTTGACCACACATGTACTGCCGGTGAACTATCTGGAAACAAGGAAGATATCACACCTTTCTATAAAGCATTCTATAATGTTTACCCATGAAATGTGGTGTAGTAAAAATATTATGTTTTACCTCAGATTTATGCACATGGATGGACATGGTTGTCAGCACCAAGTAGCGTTTTTTCCAGACAGTCGGTCTAAATCTTAATGCAATACGTTGATGCACCCATCCCCATTTTAATAGAACCATATTTCGAATCTTCAAGGGAAGAGAAATAAATCATAAATGGGCTTTTTTATATATTGCTACTCAAACAATTTTCCTTACTTAATTCATTGTACTTGGAAAACAATGAAATTAAGAATTTTATATTTGATGCATAATTTTTGAAATAAACAATAAAGTGATAAGGTGTACAGTGCCCGCTATCTGTGCCTCAAAGTATTTTTGGAATCTCCAATTAAAAAAAAAAATGCATTTCATCATATGGTGACTATACGGGCATTACTAAAATAAGAAAAAGGAGTGTTATTTAAAAGATTTAGGCTTTTTCTTTTTTCATTGAAGGCGCTAACAAATATTCATCTTAAATGCTGCTCTTTTAATCATACTTAAAGGGAAAAAATTGCTCTCCTGCTATACACCCCCCATCCCCTTAACCCTACCCCCTATATAATATGTGTTTATTATTGCAGTTCAGTTTTCCGTATAGTAGTGAGATTTAGCATTGATCGCCATTTTTTTTATTATCTATCAGTAGTCGTTTCAAGTCCCCTTTAATCCAGATACTAGGCAAATTTCCTACAATTACTATACCCAGAACAACAAGCATAGATGTATTCATATTATTTGGGGGATTTGCGTCTGGTCCGGCTTTTAATGCATCGATAATGACGGAAAAGATTAGCATGGTCATTGTACATAAGCTCCAAATAATACAAGAACTAATGGATTCCGATACTGGGTATGTGACTATAAAGAAAACATAAGAACGGGTGTATCTGATAGCTAAAATTTATACTTAATTTACTCTCGCTAGCAAGCTCTAAATATACAGGAAATAATGCATAAGAGAAAAATCCATTTAAAATGCAAGCAATTAAAACAGTTGGAAATGCGTTAGGAATTACTACATGGAGTGGAAAAATGATTAATACAACTTATTCTAAAGAGAAATTAAAAGACTTACATTCGAACTTATACATGACGTACGTGAAAATAACAAGGGGTGTAAAGGTTTTTATCAGCATAAAGTGTTGTGGGCTCTTCCCGAGCCAGTACCCCGTGAGTCCTAACATGTTCGATACGCATCACGTATTAATATATGTCCCATATCTGTTTTTTTTTGTCAATTTTTACCTCCTCCAAAGCATCCACTGATGACAATAACTGATGCACATAATCCTGCCTGCTGATCAGTGTACCCATATGGTGTTATAGCTTCGATTACAAGGACCGAAATGGTAAAAACCATGCCAATAGTTACAGATGCAAGGGTTGCAACCCACCAGAATTGCATGTTTTTACATACCTGCTTTACACCTTTCCAAAAGGGTGTTCGATCTAACATAGCACTTGCAGATGGAGGATTTTTAGGTTTACTCGGTAAGAAAAATGTTGGGAGTGCACATACAGTAGCAAAACTTGCAACAATTATCAACTGTGTATGTATAGAAATAATCAGGAGATAATGTGTGTAATACCCTTTACTTTTTGATATCTCTTACCATTCTTGGAACATCTTGTACATTAGGAGCAATGATAGGAAGTATAAGAGGAGCAAGAGCCATTCCGATCTGGATAGCTGTATATATTTGTATTGCATGTAAGTAAATTATAATGACAACTTTTATGATCGTATTAATACTTTACATAAAATGATGTTGGCAATGCCACGATCTTTAGGAGCGAACCAAAGAGCTACAAGCTTTTTATTGGATAAGTAACTGTGGAATGTAACTTAATCAGATCGCGTGTACCTTTGCGGCAACACTTTTTTTTTAAAAAAAAAATTGTGGTGCGATTATCAGTTTTGAGGCTATTTTTATAAAGTAACATGAGCGCTTACTTATAAACCAATGGTCCAGCTATACTTGAAACAAGCTGTCCTAGCATGATGAGCGTATACTTTTTGTCATTTGGTACAACAATAGCAATACATCGTATCCAACAGCCAATAGCATTAAATACGGCGCATACTATAATCGAATTCTTGATACCGTATTTTTCATATACCCAAGCTGTGGGTAACGAAAATAACGTGTTGCAAATAGCTGAAGCATTAGAAAGCCAATTCAGTTGAGTTAATGAAGTACCCATCCATTCCGACATAACAGCAGGTACACTAGAGGATGTCATCCACATAATTGCACAGCAACCATTCACAGCTACACAAACTGCTGTTTGTAACCAAGCCGAAAGGCTGGTTTTATCTTCAAAATAAACATGTTCTTCCCCAATTGATCTGTTACTTAACGAAATACTAGTCGTATCATTATTCTTTTCTACGATGCGTTCATCATATGCTGTCTTTATTGGTGTGCTACTCGTCATAGTTACAGCTAGTGAATAAATAGAAGAAAAAAGAGAAAAAAATTTAAAAAGACAAAAGAGTCTTATATTACTACAATGTATAAGGGTTGGGGAGTTAATGCATGATATGCTTCTTTTCAAACCCAGTTGTTCCTTATCCCCATTCGTGGCTATTCAAGGCAATATCTACACCTTCGTGTTTGTAGTAATGCTATTTTACATGCCATGCTTTTTTTGAATCACGTGATTATTTTCGTTCGTCTAATCTTAAAATGCACTCATTTCGATCAACTCCCTTTTGTTAAATAATATTGATAATCCATAATGCTCGCTGTTCCTTAGCACTTTATGAAATTTTGCAGGAATAGAAGAACATTTGTTGTAATGTAACATCTTTTTTGCCCATTTCTTTCTTTACGAACGAATAGCGGCACGTACTCATCATCATGTTCTAGATATAATTTAGAACTTTATAAAGTTTCACTATGAATGCTCTCCATGGGCTTGCCAGATATCCTTAGAAGCTGAAACGCAACAACAGTACTTTGGGGTGCAATTGTTTTTTGTATAACTTGAAGACCTATGTATGTAAAGAAAGCGGGAGATCAAGAATACGATGATCGAATTCTTCAAAATGAAGAGCAGATAAATAAGTCTCATCTAGTGTTCGAAATGAAGATCGAAACTCTCGAGCGAGCTTCGATCGTGTTCTAGTCGAAGCTCGCTCAAATTTTCTTAAGCTCGCGTTTTTTATTACACAAAATGCACGTCAAAGTGATGTTAATTGAAGAAAGTTATGATTATTAAGTATAATCTATTAAAATACGATTTAACGTGAAATACGAATTAATAAGAATAAAATTGAGAACTTTCACAAGGTATAATAAACTACGGCGTACACTGTAATACACAGAGTAAAGTGTGAATGAGTAGGATCCTATAACCAAGAAAGCTTACTGATAGTTTCTAATAAGTACAACCAGTACAAATGTTCGGCTTAATCAGGTTTAACTTAAATTTTTGTATCATTTATTTGAGAAGACTGGATAATTAAGTTGAGAGTATTTTGTAATAGAAAATGTTATTGTCCGTCCTTTTTGCAGCCTTGAATTAGAAGTGGATGCTCGCTCAAAGATCGCTCGAATCTAAAAAAGGTGGCGCATGCTCGAGTACAAAAACTTGGTTCGAGCTTTGTTCGAATTGACGCAAGATCGGAAAGTTCAGACACTAGTCTCATCGTATATTGCTGTTAGAGCAAGATGTCTGTAGTCCTGCACAATTTGTCACAAAAAAATTTCGGAACTATATTCCGGTACCTACGGAAGGTGCCTGCTTTTTGTACACCATAAAAAAACTTTTGTAATTGCCACATGCTATCGTGAATTTCCAACATTTAATTATGTAAAGTGGGTCCGAAGCTGCAAATCAATTAGTTCAGCCCCAATTATGTAACGTCGAAAGTGCAAGCATTTATTGTATGTGTACAGATTACCAAGTCCTGTACACACAAAACACTTGATCAAGTAAATGGGGGTGATGATGTGATACCACAGTGACATGCGGATGAATCATTTGACAATCCGGACTTTGACCGATATTTTGGCTTTAAAACTATTTTTTATTTCAATGTAACGTCATTATTACGTAGATGCACTGAAACTTAAATATATTTGCTTGATAATGTCACATAATACATTATTAAATAAAACTACACATCTAGGAGTTGCTATAACATTGGGAAGAACCTGAGTTTTTAGCCAAAAGTTCAATATCATATGTAAAAGGAAGGGTCACCCCAAAGAAAAAAAAAAGACAACAGTTGGAGTTCGTTGTCCGCTTTCTAGCGCGTATATTTCAATTTTTAAAAACCCCTTTTAAATTTTGTTTCTTGTTTACAATTTTTTTTTTTATAGAAAAAAAAAAAATGACTAAATACATTCCCGAAGAAAGCCTCAAAGGCCTACACCTTTATAAATATGGCGGTGTTGATAAGTCTTTAGTGTCAAGATATATATTAGGACCATACTGGACCAACCTTGTAAAGATCTTTCCCTTATGGATGGCGTAAGTTTTTCTTTTTGTAATGGTCAATTGCCATGCTAACTTTTGTTGAACAGCCCCAATATGATTACCTTGTTAGGTCTTTTGACTGTTGGTATCAATATTATAACCTTATTTTATTATACCTCTACCCTGGGTGAATGCCCTAACTGGGTATATTCAACGTAAGTGCACAAAGGGATTAAGAGTGAATGATATTATTGACATAATGCAATAGATTTGGTATTGGATTGTTCATTTATCAATCTTTGGATGCTATTGATGGAAAACAAGCAAGACGTACACAAACATCTGGACCATTGGGTGAATTATTTGATCATGGTAAGTGGGGATATGAATCACAAGAAAGCAAGTATATTAATATGTGATGGGTTTAGGTTGTGATGCTTTAAATACGACTTTAGGGGCTTTAACTTGGGCATCTTCTACATATCTCGGTCAAAGTTGGTGGACAGTTATCTCTTGTGCTGCCAGTCTTGGTAACTTTTACTTATCTACATGGGAAGAGTATCACACCGGTATCTTGTATTTAGGTCACTTTAGTGGGCCTGTAGAAGGCGTATTAATGTTGTGTGGCGTTCACATGATCTCTGGTTACTTTGGTCCTGCGGTTTGGATGATTCGTGTAAATGAACTTTTTCCTTCTTCTATCTTTGAACTCAACGAAGTTACACAACTCATCGGTTCATTGCAATTAAACCATGTGCTTATTGTTCTTGGTGGCTCCGTCACTTTCATTAATATCGTCACAGCGTAAGTATAATGCAAACAAACATGTATACATACTGCAGTTGGGTTAATATTTTAAATAGTTTGTATAATGTCATCCATGTTAAGCTTCAGCCTACTGAAATGTCCAAGAAGGATGGATCAATTGTAAAGGCTACACTCGGTCTTGCCCCATTCATTAACATGTGCTTCTGGACTTACAAATGGATGCGTATCTGGCCTGATATTGTCACTGATCATCTTGCTGTCTTTATTTTTTTCTTTGGCTTGATCTTTGGTCATCAGGTTGGACTTATGATTACTGCTCATGTCTCCAAGTTGAGCTTCCCTTATATAAACATCCCTGTCAATGCTTTATTGATTTCAGGTTATTTGATTGCTAAATCTGAATCTTTTATTGAAGAGTAAGTACCTAAATCTCTGTACGTGTGTATATCATCTAATTCTATTGCACTATTTAGATTTATTCCTGTCGACCATAGGTTCGTCATTAAGGTATACGTCGTTCTTGCTGCGTATGTGTATTATGACTTGGCAAGAGGTGTTATTCAACAAATCTGTACATATCTTGACATTGGCTGTTTATACATTAAGAAGAAGCCTACCGCTGCTAAGAGTTCTTAAAATACACACACACACACACACAACTAATTTAAATAAAATATAAACACCACGATTAACTCCATTTTAACATTTTATTTATTCCTTTTTATTTTATTTAAAAATCGCCCATTTCATCATCTTCATCCAAATCACCTTCTGCGATTTCTTGAGCAAGCTCTCTCTCTCTCTCCCTTGCTTCCTCAGCACTAGCCAGCTCCTTTCTATGTGCATCCATAGGGAAACGCATTGCCTTGACAGCATCATTATGAAGGTTCAGACAGAAGTTGATACGTTGATGGTAAGCGTTTTGAGGTTCATTAGTGCTGTAGATATCAACAATCTCCTTACTCTTCATGAATCCCTTCGAGTGGTCCAAAGTGGCATCGATAACGCCATCACGAATTGCCTTTGCAACAATAAATTCAGCATCTTCTTCACTATCCAAATGAAGTTTGATACAAATGTCTCTCAATGAAATTTTGGAGTAAGAAAGACTGATCATGCGAATACCAGTCTTAATAACATTGTGACGTAGACGAAGAATCAAGGTGTACGTCTTATCCTTTTTGAAGATAGCGTCATATTGAGCCAATGCTTCTTGAAATTTGTTGAGATCACCAACACGAACAGCTATAAAACGTTTAAGAAGATAAATATACCGCTATTATTCAAATATCCAGACCATTAAGTCTTACCTTGAGTAATAGCGAGGTAAGGCACCAAAGCCTTCTTCAAAATAGGTTGTCTAAAGAGAGATCTTTCAGGGATTTCACCCATCAAAAGTTGAACAACAATAAAGAATTTGTTGGTAGTTTGCTGGAAACCGGCTGTAACGTTATTTTGAGGAGCCTTTCTGATGGCCTGTGTCAAATACGTATGGGCAGAGGTGTAATCGAGTTGAAGTGCCTTGATACGTCCAAGATAATAAGCATAACGAGCAGCTTGGTTGTTGCCTGCCTTCTCAGGGAATGTGCTTTTGGAAACAAGTTTATCGGCTTGATCATAGAGGTTATGGAAGAAATAATTACGCAACAATAAATTCAACAATGTTGCTTGAGTCTCATCATCATGTCTTAAGGTGGCGGTTCTATGTGCTGCTAACTGAACACTATTATAAAGAATATTAATATACAACGACGATTCTATATTTCCCCCTTTCACTTTCTCGTGTTGTCTCTCTATTCATCTTACGGTCTAATTTCAGCAAGTTTGTTGGATAATTCATGGAAGCGACCGTGATAGAAGTATACACGGGCGGCGATTTGATCCATTGTTCTACGGTTCATAACATTCATTCTGTCGACGGTCTTGTTTGCTAATTCAAGACCCTGTCTTTTAGATTAAGTATGGATTTCTATTTTTTATACAATTATAAAGTTTTACCTTTGCAATCTCATTTTTATCTAAAAGATAGATCAATACGTTTAAGTGAAGATAAATGTCGACTTCAGGTAAAACAGATCCCTTCTTCTCTACGTCCTCTTCTGTTGTAGGCTTTTCAATCTAAAAAAGAGAGGGTTAAACTACCGTTATATACGCGTCATAAATCACTTACTTCGCTCAAATACTTCAGAAGTTCAGTCTTTTGAGAGTCGTCTAGGCAATGCGTTAGTATACTCAGTATCAGGTTGGTAAGCGAAAAAACTTACTGGGACCAAAGTAATCCGAGATCACTTGAGCAAGAATATCAGAAGTTAAACGACGTCTAATTGAAGGTAATGTTCTTAAGACTCGTGTTGTAAATCTAGCTTCAATAGTGTCAACCGCACGTTCCAGTAAGGTGAAGTTACGCTTGATTTCTAGTTGTGGTTCGATTAAGTATTAATTTTTATTTTATCTATTACGTGTAGCTTCATCAATTTAGTTACCTGAAATTGTCTCCTTTACAAGACGTTCTTGTTTAGCACCCTCGTCTTCAACAATATCCATGGCTTCAACCTGGTCATTCTTGTCTTGCTTTTGTTCTTTGGTAGCCATTTTTGATATGTGCTTTGTAAAGAAAGAAAATAAAATTAGAAATACAAAGCTGCAAAATTCAAGTCGATTGCGCGTCCAAAAGCCTTAATCTCATGATGTCATTCATTCATTGGTGAGCGGGTGTTTAATAACAATCCGTGACTGACTGACTTAGTTTTTTTTCTGTCTTCCTTTTTTTTTACTCGCCATGTTGCCCTTATACGATGCCAACTTAGATACCCAAGCCTTCAATAGTAAGCCGACTGCTCGTTTTCTTACAATGTTTGAATACTGAAACACACAAAAGTTTTTAAACCTGTAAATAGCTTGTTATCCTACGATCTACCTAAGTTGTCGGTTGAAATAGTAGACAAACCCAGCACATCTTCTAAATCCAACCCCATATCGTTCAAGAAACCTGAGGTCGATCTGTATTGCAAACCATGTAAAAAAAAGTTCAGCAACGAACCTACTTTTGCCAACCATCTAAAAAGTGCCAAGCATATTGCCAATGAAACAAAAGCACAACCTGCAAAGACAGCAAGAGTCTCCCGTATTCCTGTCAACCCACAAGTTCAAGGTATAATAAAAAACGAACAACAACCAAGGGCATTCATCACTTACCGTCCCTGTTTTTTTCCTCTGTATAGATGCGCTTAGCCAACTAGAAATTGCTGCGAGTGCTGATCCTACGACATCGCTCACGATCTATTGGAATCAAGCACAACTACTGTTTTCGTTAAAGCGACCTCAATATGTAGAAAAAGCATTGAAGTCAATAATCAACTTGTTGCTCGCTTCGCCTCCCACTCAGTTTTCTTCAGCTCAAATTACTTCATTTTTATATAGCAGTCGGCTAGCTTTAGCGCGGTTATTATGCATCTATCAGGAACTGGATGAGTCTAGATCTATATATTTGGATGCGTTGGATGGTAAATGGAAGTTAGAAAAGAACGAGTTGCTTGACATTGCCAAGGTAAGTGAAAACAAGAACTTTCACAGCTCAAATGCTTAACGGTACGCATTAAAAGAGATTACATGGATTATCAACATCCGTACTATTAAGTGCGTGCGACACATTAGCTGCGAAATACCTGACTAGAGAAAGAAATCGAACCAAACCGGCTCCAGCATTGGCAGACATTAACAACTCAATTACAACTATACTGAATGAAGCTGGTAATCTTTTTGCCCAGGAACAACATACATATGACAATGTGCCATCCGAAAACATTGCTCTCGTATTATATGCGACGTGTTCTCTTATTACACCGTTCGAAAAGCTAGAAGAGTTTCCAGTAAACTATTTTTACAACATGATGAATCAAGTATATGAATCATTGGAGGGTTTAGACCATCGTATGGTGGAAGTGAACCTATTACTCAATTCGGATGTCTGGTACACATTTACTGCGTTATTATTGTCGCTTGAAATTGGTAAGTTTCTGAGCTGTTGCTGCAAGCACGTATTCATAATGACATTCTGATTTTTTAGATGATCTTATAAGAGCCCGCTGTATTTCTCAAAGTTTGAAACAAGAGGCAATTTATTCACACCCAGATGTCAAACTCTTGTGTGACTTATGCGACAATAAATTGACCTTGAACCAGCACGAACTTCTTCAGGACCTAAGTTATGTTAAGTTGCTGTTAAATGAAACTGACGAGCCATTGTTAATTAGAAGTAGAGATGAAGGAGAGCAAGAATATACGCTTGATCGCATTGCAGACCTAATTTAAAAATCAAATAAAATAAATGTTGTAGCCGTATAATTTTCAAATGTTTCCTGGTAAAAGCTTATTCTACATAAGTAAAACATCAAAAACTCCTCACGATAGGTGTTGAATTCGAAATATACAAAGTGTCAGCAGTTCTGGACATTTATTTATCTTTTTGATAACAAAGGTGTAGTGATAACAACCGAATGCAAAGATATTATTTCAAGCGCATAGTCTCACGAACTTGAAGATCATGACCATGAACAATACGATGAAGATTAAGCCGAGAAAGGACAGGATATGCACCTATCAGAATAATTTGGATTTATCATCTGACGACGAGGGGATCCACTGTTATTACTTAATCAATCTTTCACTCGGAATGACCGTATTACACACCCAACTATCTTGAGCCAGGAATAATCATATGTGAAAGAAGCAGTGTGTTATCGATAGTAGAAATATAGGATTACAACAGATAGCGAGATTTAGTATACACATACGTCTGAGGGTTAGGGCACTGTTGAAATTGGATATACGGAGAGGATACCAGGGTAGCAGTTATTGTTCAACTTGGCGGATCCTTGAGTCTAGGGGTATATGTATCATAATCTTTATGAATCGAGATTCTTGTACTTCTGTAAGGGAACTATAAGAATAAAACGAAATCGGCTATGCTGGCAATTATCCTTATCACGGCCTATAAATGGCATGAAAAAAAAAAAGAGAATGAAATGACGAGGATTCGGATGATAAAATGAAAACTATGAAATATCAACGATTTGGAATCCCTGCGTTTGCAAGATCTGTTCTCGTTTTTTATAGATGGTCTGACAATTGTGCAATACTCATATTTTTTAAAAAAAAATTTGATGGTGAGGTTAAAGCAGATATAAATAACTGAGCCACAATAGGTTTCTTTAAGATGTTTCTTTTTTTTCCTTTGGAGTCTTTCATTATTTTACAAATAGTTTACAATTAAAATCAAGTTATAATTCAGAATTATCATTTTAGATGTTTAGTTTCCCTAATTCATGTGACGTTGTCTTTAAATCAGATTACAAACTTATACGAGTTCTTATTTTTAAAGCCTTTTTTTTCTTTCTGTTGAGTCATCTAGTTGAAAAACACAGCATTTAACTTTACAGCTGCTGCAATATCAATTATCATTTCATTTGGGACCTTCATACAGGACATTGTAGTAGTTGCAGCAACCTTTTTTTATCTGCGTCTTACCTGATATATATATATATATATACTCGAAGGAAACTGCAGAGCTCTGATGGAATTGATGATATCACAGAAAAAAACAATGGCTACTTCATCCAACATAAGCTTCTTGAGAAGCACATCCGTTCTGATCTCAGTAAGGGACAAGGTGGTTTATGAATGATAAAAACCGAGAAGCTTTGATGCCGACTGATGGTGTGTTCTTAATGTTAAGTCACACTTGTCACTTAAAATAAAATATTAAAAACGCCGTTTGCATGTCTCACTTCATTACTGTTGGAATGCTTTATGATTCACAAGAAACTAAGTTGACACAACGATACAAAGCTTAAAATTCAGTCATAATCTCACCATCGCGACCTTGTTCAATCGTTTATAGTCCTTTCTCTAGTCTTTATCCAGTCTGTAATAATTTGACTAGGTTTAAAAACGAAATTAAGAATGATCTTTATAAACACCAAACTGATTCTCTTTATTTCTAGTCGTATATCTCCAGCTGTTGTGACTAACTGACCGCAAGAAGACCTTACTCACCGTAAAAGACTACAACATAATGAGTCTCAATTTTTTGTGTTATAGATCGCCTATATTCACCAAATAAAAAAAACAGGGGGAGGGACTATGGACAAAATAATATGGTTTACCCTATGTCTTTGCAGCCAATCGAGGCCCATTTGTTGGTGACATTCTGGTCTTACCTACATCGTGGAATTAAACTCGTCTTGTATGCTGTTAGTTCTGGACCAGTTTCGTAAAGATTTTGGATAGTTGTAGTAACTGGAACTTATGAGTGTTTATAATTATGACAACTGAAGTGAGAATTCTTGCAAGAAAAAAAAGTAACATTACATGTAATCAGTGAGCATGTAGAAACAATTAAAATAATAGACATATGTCATCATGGAAATAATGTGATTCATACAGAGTTTCTTATCTTTATCGTAAATAGTGGGGTCGTTTCTCATACGATACCTCTTTATGTATTTTTTTTTGTAACAGTCTCTGTTCCGATGTAAATCTTTTTTTACTTCGACCAACAATGAATCCGTAGTTTGTGTTTTGTCATAGTTTTTCTTTTTAAAATAAAAAACATAACATT